ATGAGCATGCTAATCCAATGCTTAACTATGTCCTACTTATAGGTCATTATTATATATTTAAGTGCAAGTTACAACACATTATGCCAAACATTGTAGGTTTCAAATCCTGTGTAAAACAAACCATTGATTTGGAAAGTATCATTGCGAAAGCTCAGAACAGAAGAACAAAGTTTCTAAACAAGTGGGGACCTTTTATTGAATATCATGATCTGTAATTGTTTTTCTTTTTTCTTTTATTGTTGTTTTGTCTGTAATTTGTCATTGTAATTTTTGCATATTGAATAAAAAAAAACAATGACATTTTTAAGTTAACCAAGGCAAACAAACATATTTTTATTCATTAACATTCATTTATCTTCAAATTGCACTCCTTGAACTGAGAAATTATTGTCATATTCACAAATTGATCCATACATACTGCTCGTCTATGAAAAACAATTTCTATTGTGGTGGCAAGTTATTTTATCAACACGGTCAAATTAACCTTTGGGTCACAATACTTACCTTTGGTTTATATTCTCTGTAAAGTTCATTTAAAATGTCTGTGGTCACAGATGTGGTTGCTTTTAAATAATATGATGGATCTTCTCTTGCCTTTTTCTCTTCTGGCAAAAAGATATAATATACAAAAATACAATATCTATAAATCAAAAAGTAAGTATATTACATAGTCTCTGTTAGTTCTGAAGTTCCAAGGAATAGAGCATGTCAGAGATATAGCTCCAAAACTGCACTCACTAAAACAAAATGAATCTGATCTAAAAAAAACAAAATGACATACATCAAGGTCCACTAATTTTCAATGTATGTACCAAGTTAGAATGAATCTATTCATACAAGACTGAAATTTGGTTTCGGAATGGCAGAAATGTTATTAAAATGGCTGCCATTTGGCCATCTTGAATCACCAAACAAATAAATGTGCATATACGAACATAATGTATATATATAAAATTTAAACACGATCGGTCAAGGAATACATTGTAACCACTAGTTGACTATTATGAATCAGATGTGGAAAACCAAATGACATGCATAAAGTTCCAATAATGTTTGTAGTGAGTAGTACTATGAATGAAAATTGTTTATACCAAGGTCTGATGTGAATACTCAATTTTCAGCTAAAAATGGCAATAGCCACCTTTTTATTTTGCCTAAATAGTATGAGATGATATTTGTTTTTCATTTCTTGACATTAAAGCATTATGGCAAAATTTTTTTCCCAATGAAAAGTCATTGACCTCAGGATTTCCACGGTCCAACCATTATCCTCATTAATATTCAATTGTTTTTGGTTTTTTGGATATTCAAATTTAAATGTTTGTTTAGTTCCCATAAAAACAGGAAAGCCAAGACACCAGGTGCACAGAGTTGCAAACTTTTATATATTTCTCAGCTTTAACATAATACAACTACTTGATGTAAAATCTTAAAGCGCTGGTTGTCACGCAGTGCGTGTTTGAATTTCATGTAAATAAACAATGTATTTTACACGCATTGTATACGTCGCTGTGAATCCCATATCGAACAGGACGCGACAAGCCGACTGCATCCCCTTAAACAAATTATTAAACAATGTTTTTAACATCTCAAAATGTCAAGAATTTTGTTTTCAGAAACAATAAATACAGTCTATAATTTCTGGTAGAAGCCTACTCATGAATGCAAACAGCCAGAATTACCCTCCTTGGCCATATAAGTGTCTTGACTTTAAAAAAGTTCGGGTCACCAGACTAATTTTCAAGAAAATGATGGTTATATTTTAGTGGATTTTAGTAGCTGTCATTTTGGCAGTATCATACAACTTTTCCCATAGGTTCCTATGGCAGGGATATACATGTATGCCATATCTTAAATTGTAGGCTAGTGAAGAAATTATATATTGTAAATGAATGGTAGTTTTAAAAATGCAATTTTACTTTCACACTGTATTCTATAGAATTATTTTAAAAATAGGGACAAGTTTCTCAAAACAACGTCACGGTAACGCACACACACAAAAATGCTATTTTATTGAG